TAGGGTAGGTCGTCACATGAGATTGTGTATCCAACAAAAACGGTTTACCAACTGGAAAGCATTTGCAAAGGTCATTAACACAAAGTGTGAAAAGATGAGGACTGAGCACGCTACCCTGAACTACACCAGAAGTAATGGGCCTAGGTTTAGAAAGCTGAGACTCAATTCTTACAACTTGTGAGCGGTTACAAACAAAAGATTTTGTCCAGCCTAATAAGGGGTTAACAAGTTTAAGGGCTTTTAGCTTATGGATAAGTAGTGAATAATCCACGCAGTCGAATGCCTTGGAGATATAAAAATCAAGGACAACGACTAACTTACGTTGATCATGTCTAGCGGTCAAGAAGTTAAAGAAATCGAGATGATAGGTCAAACATGATCGTGATTTCAAGAATCCATGCTGACTAGATGCGATGACATTATTGTTGAGCATGTGTCGAAGAATATCTTTAACTACTTTCTCCATAATTCTAGACGACAGTTATTAACCTCAGTTTTGGGACCAGATTTATGTCTAGGTATTGTGAAGGACTTCTTCTATACGTCGGGGTATGTAGAAGTCCCCATGGATATGGAGTAATAACAACTAAATGTCAGGAACCCCCTCCCGCATTTTAAAGAAGTAGGAAGCCATTCCGTCAGTACCTGTGCTCCTAGAGAACTTTAGTGTTTCAATGGTTCGGTTAATGTTAGCACGTGTGAACTCAATAGTGCTAATAGGTCCCAGTGTAGGAAGAGAGAATTGGTTGCTAATTTTAACGAAGTTCACATTATTAGTGGAGATTGCTGACGGTAAGTAGCCAGCTGTGAACATGGTATTGAATAATTCACTTATTTCTTCTGGCCTATTGTAGACCTTACTATCATAAGTGGAGAAAAGAATACTATGCTTTCGCTGGTTCGACCGCTTCTTTAGGAGTTCCATGAGAACATATACTTCGGAGGAGCTAGCTAGTGCAGTGGTTTCATCATGTTTTGCTATCGTCTCCTGATAATTACGAATGGAACTAAGGGCATTAAGAAGAGATCTGAGTGCTCCACAGTCATGATGCTTGAAATTATTTGTCGAGAATTTGTGCAATTTTCGACGAATATTCTGAGGTATAAAAGGTCTTTTTGACATGAGATTTTCCGGGTTTTTCAGAGGGGCTATAATATCAATGCCTGCAGGAATTAGAATACAGTATACTGACTGCCAGTTCTAGATCAGCCGTGTTGAAGTATGTTCCCATTCACTACTTCTAATCAACGAACAACCTAGATCCCAGTCTGTCTTATTATAACTTCTCTACTTGGATTGTTAGGGGGTAGAGGTAATATGTGTAGTGTAGGTTGAAGGGAGTGGTACTGCACACAGCACCACTTTGTGGTCGCCTCCTGGGAACTCGGAACTAGCACATTGAAAGAGGATGGATATCTTGGCATAAAACTAGGTCAAGCACGTTCTCACCCCTTGTCGGACTAGTGATAAGTTGTTTCCATCTGAATATACCTAACGGAGTAAGGAAGCTATCATACCTAATGGGGCAAGTGTACGCGTCCCATTTAATTTCCGGTAGATTAGTCTCCGCATACAATATTTTGATCATACTGAATGGAGGATGTGTGTTGAAGGATATCATTGAGTAAGGACTCATCTTCAGAGAACATTTTAGGTGCCCTTTACATGCAACCAAGCGGTACCGTTACATCTTTGTAGTGGACTGTGACCCATAGGGAGTCTTTAATTTTACTTAGCACTACATTTCCCAGCCTGAATACATTTAGGGTGTTTAGAAAGTATATTAAGTAGCCACCTCCTCTCTTATTGCTCCGGTTACATCTAAAATATGCGTACATGACAATACTTATTTCACCATCTGGTATGGTAGGGTGACACCATGATTATTATAATGGGTGGTTTGAACAGGAGTGATATTGTTCTCAGTATTAGTAGTTTGCCTATAACAGATCTCGCACTAATAAGGATAATAGATAGGTATAAATAGTGGAAATGCGTGAACACTTCAAGATCGGTGAAGAGAGTCAGAGGTATGTCAGGAGCCCATGTTTGAGTATGATCTGACACCATACCACACGACTTACCATTATTTACAGTTTCAGTGGTTGGGGTGGGAGACGGTTTAGTGAGGAACAGGTGAGCCATTTAGTTCACCTTGAAAATGGGGTAGGGAGTTGTTTTGGAGCTCCACCTATACGTCCTGATTAGCCCAGGATGCATAGATGGTAGCTAAATGAGAGATAGACTCATCGTTTATTAGTAGCCAGCCCATTAAGTGAGGAGCGGAAACGATCTGATGAACTTGCCGTACGGGTTTCTTCTGGAAGCCTATTCCAAATGTGCGAGGATTTATTGAGGAAGAAATTATCTCGCAGTCTCGTTGTACAGCACTGTTTCAACTAACGCTTTGTGGTTACGCATATCGTACGTAGACGTTATAATTAGCTTGATTTTCAGGCCATGAGAGTGCAAGTGCTGATGAAGTAAATCAATAAAATATGAGGTTCAGTTTAAGTCTCCCCTTCCAGAGTGGTTCTAACAAGAGCATGTTACATCTGGATTTGTAGTCTAGATTGGAGTCAGCTCCTGATTTTCTGAAGGTGAAGTAACGTTGTACCCTTACAACTTTCAGGTTATCGCTTATACGAAGGCCACCGAGAATAAGCAGGCAACATTCTAAAAGTGGGCGAATGCACACTTTATAGAGTAGAACCCGTGGTTCAGTGCTATGGAAGCTATGAATGATGCATCCCAAGTTTACGTGACTTATATTTGATATCAGCTGTTTGTTCCGAGAATGTCAGGTCTCTGGAATATCTGATGCCAAGATTTAACACAGAAGAGCGTCAAGGTGGCTATTTCCCACATAATTCGAGGGTCAGGTGAAGATTGCCGCCTATGCTAAGCCAAATACATTTTTCATTATTGAATTCGAGGTTGGACACAGCACACCATGACGCAAGTTTATCTAGCTCCTGTTGAGCGGCATCTAGAGTGGTCCATGAGAGTGACAAGTATACACAACCACCAGGTCATCGGTTCATAAGAATGTTCTACCTTCACTGAAGCAGTTACAGACACTGTTGACATAAATTATAAACAAAAAGGCCTAAGGACACAACCCTGTATAACTCCACTAGTTATAAGTTTAGGTTCAGATTGCGTGGAGGTTGCTTTCATGAATTAAATACGATCACTAAGAAATGATTTTACCCAACTTAGTAGGCGGTCGCGAATACCAATCGATTGTAGCCTGTTAAAGAGTATACTATGAGACAACTTGTCAAATGTCTTTTATACATCAAAGTATAGAACAATGACGACTTTACGTGCCCCACGGTTACCGGTGAAGTTAAAGAAATCGAAACGATGAGTAACGCACGACCTATTCGTAACTTTCACCTCAAAGAAGTCAAGTTACTGCTCTATAAAACTTGCGTACGTCCACTATTAGAATATTGCCTATTTATATTGAGTGGTATCCGCATTAAAGACAAACTAAATATAGAGGGTATCCAAAGG